TACCACATGGTATCCTGATTCACAATCTACCAACAGTGAAGAGCACGAGACGACATCCACTACATTCGAACCAGAAGCGGCATCTACGGACCATCATCAACACGAATCGTCTACCACATGGCATACTGATTCACAATCTACCAACAGTGAAGAGCACGAGACGACATCCACCACATTCGAACCGGAAACGGCATCCACGGACCATCATCAACACGAATCGTCTACCACATGGCATCCTGATTCACAATCTACCAACAGTGAAGAATACGAGGCGTCCCCAACCGCATTCGAACCGGAAACGTCATCCACGGACTATCAGCAATACGAATCGTCTACCACATGGCATCCTGAATCACAATCTACCTACACCGTAAATCACGAAACTAGATCTTCCTCATTCCACCCAGAAATGGAATCGACGGACGTTCACCCACAGGACTCATCTACCTCTTCCTATCGTGAAGCACAATCTACCCACGGTGTGGAGTACGTCACGACAACCACCTTTTTGGAGGCAGAAGCAGGATCGACAAACGATTATCCGCACGAATCAAATAAGGTTTCCCAGGATGCGAACCTATACACCACCGAATTTTCGGTTAACGCCACTGATGATATCACGGGATTGGAAAATGAAACAACGGAATAGGTGTATCTCGTAACTGTTGCCTGATTTCAAGTTTAAGGTGGTATGGTTCACCGGTTCACCATTTGACTTCTTTAACGGTGATGGATGCTTATGAATCGTTTTTTTGGTTGCTCCGGTTTGTTCAAATGTGAGGCGTTTGGTGTTTCCTCTTTATTCGCTATGGAAACCCTCGTTCGTGTTTCTTTTCCTGCCACCTGCCCTAACGTTTCTCTCCTTCCAGCTTCTTGACTCTCATTCCAGTCTGGTTGTTCATTTGTGGAAGCAATACGGTTCGGAGTTTTTCAATGTCATGCTACTTTTTTGTATCAATGGGATTTTGAAGCATTATTGCAGGCCATGATTCTATCAGGACGCAACTCCTTTCATTCCGTTCTCTGATTTCTTTATTTGCTTTATTCTTCTTTTATGATTTTCATAAGTTATGTTATTTTACTCCTTGCTGGGCTAATGAAAACACAGCTCCCATGAACATTTCCCTATCCTGCTATTTAGTTTTGATCTTCTTCATTGGTTTACTGACCTTTTTTCACCTTTCGTTGACACACTGTGGTTATGTGATTGCTGAATATTCACCGTTCGAGGTGCATAAAGCGATTTCTTCACTTGAGTTCAATGGACTATGAACTACACGCATGATCACCGGTTCCGGGCACTTCATTAGTCTGCAATAAAGCACTTAATTTTGAACGAATTACAGATAAGCACTTAATTACAAATACCGCGGTGCCGCGGTGCCGCGGGGTCGCTAAATCGTTTTTGGTACGCAGNCGGATAGTTTTATCCCGGTTTGGCTCACTTTTGTTACGTCATTCGTGGGAGGTGGGGGGGGGGGCACAAAGCGTACTGAAGTATCTGATTTCCAGGGTACCGCTAGATATTCGAAAATAATGAGAAATTCAAATTTGGTTTGAATACTTCATTCAGCTCATGAACAACTCCTCATTGCTCTCCACTCTTTCATCAACGTTTGGTGAAGTAATCACATGTCAGGTCGACCGTGATTACACACACACCGTCGTTGTCCAAAAATATGGCACAGTCATCCATCAAAATTAAAAAGGACACAATAAAAGCTGAGATACCCCAGAAAAATTTAAAATCTGGCTCTTAACCCTGCCGGGTAGGGTCATATCTTCTGCTTTTAGCCTAATGGAGACGCAGGCGTTGCATCGCTCATCCCACCAGCTAACGTGAACAGAAGACATAATAATTTGCGGGTTGACTTAGGGTTGTACCAAATAGATATAACATGAGAACGATTCGCCGGGATATTATTCAACCAACTAGTCATTAGCAGAAGACAACATCGCCATGAAAACCATAGAGAGGTGTTCTAGCACGGAGGAAGGTGAAGTCAGCAATCTATACTCTAAACAGTATTTTCGAACATTGCTACATGTTTCAACGGCTGAACTATGTTGACTCTACTGATTTCTGAAGCGTTGAGTTCCCTTTATCCATTTCATCAAAACAAACAGAAGACAGATGTTGCGAGATGTTAATATTTCGTTTAATCTTCTCAATCGCTAACTTAAAACAAACAGGTACATATATAGCACATGGGATTGATCAATTTTGGTGAAAAAACGTGTACAAGCATACAAAGATTACTAAATTTAGAAAAGGAAGGTCAACTTCGAGGTAAGTGGATTGGTTGTATCAAAAGCGTGTGCGCATTACTTCGGATAATTTAATCTTATAAGCAGAACTTGACCAATCGCCAAACATTTGGCATCGCGATTACGTAACAGTGGTTTGAAAGACGAATTGGAGTGTGTCTTGTTGCCATGAGATGTTTTGTTATAGATGATCCTGGATTTCTTGTAATCACTCGGCCATCATTTATCGATTGCGTCATCGATTTCACCAACCACTTTGGAATATGTTCGGCCATCCGGTGTGACAGCTGACAGTTTGTTCTGTCTGTGTATGCGTCATCGCAACTGCAGGTGAACTGGTATACAGTGTGCGAGACAGAAATGGTTTGCCAACCATGTTTACGTTGGTCCAAATCAATTCCGCCAGTGGAGACAATGAGTCTGAGTTGAGCAGCTAGAGCTGACCACAACTTCTAGCGATCATAATTGTAAATGTGGTCACCTTTGAACATAA